AAAGGGATACAAATTGGAAAAGGAGAAATCAAACTTACAATATTTGCAGATGATGTGATAGTCTCTATAAGTGACGCGAAAAATTCTACCAGGGATTTCCTACAGCTTATAAACACCTTCAGCAAAGTAGCAGGATACAAAATGATTCAAAAACCTGTAGCCCTACTATATACAGATGATAAATGCAATGAGACAAAAATCAGAGAAACATCACCCTTCACAATATCCACAAGGAACATAAAGTGGTAATGCTAACCAAAAAAGTGAAAATCCTGTACAGTAAGAACTTTAAGTCTTTAAAGAAAGAAATTAAATAAGATACCAGAACATGGAAAGATTTCCCATGCTCTTGGATAGGTACAATCAACATATTAAAATTGGCAATTTTGCCAAAAGTAATCTACAGATTCAATGTAATCCCCATCAAAATCACAACACAATTCTTCACAGACCTTGAAAGAACAATACTCAACTTTATATAAAAAAATAAAAAAATCCAGTACAGCCGAAACAACTCTGGACAATTAAAGTACTTCTGGAGGCATCACCATCTCTGACTTCAAGCTCTACTATAGAGCCTCAGTTCTGAAAACAGCTTGGTATTGGCACAAAAATAGACAGATAGACCAATGGTACTGAATTGAAAACCCTGATATAAACCCACACATGCATGAACACCTGATTTTTGACAAAGAAGTGAAATCTATACAATGGAAAAAAGAATCTTCAACAAATGGTGCTGGTACAACTGGATTCAGACATTCAGACAACTGCAGATAGATCCGTATCTGTCACCATGCACAAACTAATGTCCAAATGGATCAAAGATCTCAACATAAATCCAGCTTAACTGAATCATCTAGAAGAGAAAGTGGGAGATACCCTTGAACTAATTGGTACAGGAGACTACTTCCTGAACATTACATTAGTAGCACAGACAATGAGCTCTACAATTAATAAATGGGACCTCCTGAAACTAGGAAGCTTCTGTAAGGCAAAGGATACAGTCAGTAAGACAAAATGACAGCCCACAGCCTGGGAAAAGATCTTAACCAACCCCACATCTGACAGAGGTCTGATTTCCAAAATATACAAAGAACTCAAGAAGCGTGCTACCAAACCCCAAACAATGAAATTAAAAAGTGGGGTGCAGAACTAAATAAAGAATTCTCTACAGAAGAATCTGAAATTTCTGAAAGACACTTAAGAAAGTGCTCAAAATCCTTGGCCATCAGAGAAATGCAACTTAAAACAACTCTGAGTTACATCTTACACCGGCCAGAATGGCTAAAATAAAAAACACCAATGACAATCTATGCTGGAGAGGATGTGGAGAAAAAGGAACACTGCTCCATTGCTGGTGGGAGTGCAATCCTGTAAGACCACGTTGCAAATCAGTGTGGCGGTTGCTCACAAAAATGGGAATCAGTCTACCTCAAGATCCAGCAATTCCTCTCTTGGGCATATACACTAATAATGCATGTGCATACACCAAGGACATATGTTCAACCATGTTCATAGCAGCATTGTTTGTAATAGCCAGATCCTGGAGGCAACCTTGATGCTAGATGCCCCTCAACTGAAGAATGGATAGAGACAATGTGGTACATGAATACAATGGAGTACCACTCAGCAGAAAAAAGCAAAGGAATATAGAAATTTGCAGGCAAATGAATGGAACAAGAAGAAACCATCCGAGTGAGGTAACCCAGTCACAAAAAACAAACATGGTATGTACTCACTCATACATGAATTTTAGACATAGAGAAAAGGATTACCAGCCTCTTCACAAATGGAACAAGGAAACAAGGACTCTAACAGAAAAATGCATGGACCCCAGAGAACGGGAAGGGCAGGATCTCCTGAGCTAATTGGGAGCTTGTGGGTATGGGAGAGGGAGTTGGCAGAATGAGAGGGGGAGAAAGGGATGGGAGTGGAGGACATGGAGGAGCAGAAATTTTGAGTGTGGGAAGAATAGAGGAGAGCATGATGAGAGATATTGTATCAGAGGGAGCCATTAAAGGTCAGAGGAGAGATTTGGCACTAGGGAGATTTCCAGAGATCTACAAGGATGACAGGAACTGACAATCTAGGCAATGATGGAGAGGATACCCTAAATGCCCTTTCCCAAAATGAGACTGATGACTAGTTTATATGCCAAGCCAGAGCCCTCACCCAGTGGCTGATGAAAGCAGAGGCAGACACCCACAGATACACACTGAAGTGAACTCTGGAACGTAGTTGCAATGAATATCAAAGGGGTTGGTTCTAGGCTGGTGAAACCAACAGAAATAGGTGCCTGAACAAGGGGGAGCACGTGGACCCCATACTGCTGGCTGGGAGACCAGTACAGGACTGATCCAGACTCCTGAACATGGAAGTCAACGAGGAGGCCTCAGCACTCTATGCGGCCCCTGGTAGTGGATCAGTATTTATCCCTGGTGTAAGAAGGGACTTTGAGAGCCCATCCCACGTGAGTGGATGCTTTCTTGGCCTGGACACATGGGGGAGGGCCTAGGCCCCTCCCTGGATGATGTGTTGGACATTGGGGAGCACCCATCAAGGTACATACCTACTATGGGAGTGGAGGGGGTTGGGAGAGGGCAGGACGGAGCTTGGGGGGAGGATAGGGAGAGGGAGAAAGGATTGACATGTGAAGCAAGTTTGTTCCATATTTGAAACAATAAATCAAAACAAAAAATTCAGCAGCTTGGGCTTCCAACATAGACAGCATACCAAGATCTCTTGAAGTGTCTTCCAGACCATCAGCATCAGATTAGGAGTACTGAAATATCCAGTCTAGTGAAACGAGCAACTGCTATATCCTTAGCATCTCTGTATGAGGCCTGAGACCATATCATGTAAGCCAATTTAATAGTGCCCCTTTTAACACATTTTCATCCCACTGATTCTGTTCCCCTAGGAAGGTATGACTAATATCGTCATCCTCACACAGAGTACTTCTAGAAATATAGGATAAAGTTTTCTTTAAACATATTATTAAAACTATTCAGCTTGATGTTGAACAACTTTTCACATTCTCATTTGTCATTTGTTGCCTTCATTCAGGAATGATTCAGTCAGGTCTTTGACTTTTTTTTAGGTAGGTTATGTGACTTGGTAGTATTGTGTAAATTCCTGACTTGGAGACTGCACTCTGCTATGGGTTGGATATGAATTCTTATTCTTAGCACTCAGAGTTTCATAAGCATTATCACTTGGTTCCAAGTTTGAGGCCCAGATGGGGAATGACATTGAAGTTTTCAGACATGGCTTATCTAGCAGGTGTAGGGCCTCAGGACTGTACATGGGGGCTTCAGGTTGTCATTCTGACTTCTCTCTATGACCTGGTCTGAGCCTTAGAGCAAGGAAAAACCATAGCTCAAATGAATGACTCCTCTCTTTTGTGGCTAGAGTGAGAGGTTGTGGAAAATTTGGGACGTGGAGACTTGGTAGAAGAAATGCATCCCTAGAGTCATCTTTAAGAGTTTATAGTCTTATTGCACTTCTGGTTCCTCTCGATGCCTCCTGTATGTGGTTACAATGTTAGCTATCAGCTTCCTCCTCAAGCTCTTTGACCGCCTCCTTCCCCACCATTACAGACTTTTCCCTTGAAGCCCTAAGCTAAAATTAACCTTTGGTCCCATAAATTGGTTTGACTTAGGTACCTTATTCCAGCCAAAGAAAAGCAAATAACAGACTTCATGAGTAAATTGTTTCAGGTATTTTATTATGGTCCAAAGAATAACTAATAAAATTCTCCGTGGGGTGTGTGGTGTCTGCACACTTCCCTCCACTTAGGATTTCTCCACACTGTGTTGCTTTCCCTGTTTTAGAAGCATTTCAGTTTTCAGGAAGTGCATTTGCAAACTTTTGCTTTTGTACTCTGAGCTTTGAGTACAACATCTAAAACAGTGACGTGTCCTTCTCTAACAGGCAGATTACTGAATCTCTGCCCTGAGTCTAGGGTTCTGCAATCTCAAGAGTACTTTGTTTCTTCAGGATCTGATCCTGGTCCCCATAGAGAATCATTTGCCCTGTGTGATTCCATGTCTGTTGTTCAAATCAGAGACTTACTTCATGATAAACATGTATAACGGGGCTGTAGAGATTGCTCTGTGGTTCAAGTTCTATCCACACAAGAGCAAGGACCTGTGTTGAGTCCTCTGTAAGGCCACCTCTGAGATATATATCAGTGTCATCAGCTTCACTTACTGAGCAACCAATCCAGGCATTTGTGAGATCCAGAGCCAGTGATGAAACTTATCTCAAAACACATGGATCAGAACAATAGAGGAAGTCACCTCATACCAACATGTACACAACACACACAGACACACAGACACACAGACACACAGACACACAGACACACACACACACACACGCACACGCACACGCACACGCACACGCACACACACACACACACACAGGGATTTATATATATCTGTGAGTGGGACAGAGGGAGGGGAAGAGAGAGACAAGCTGACAGGGAGGGAAGGAGAGAGGGAAAGACAGAGAGAGAGACAGCAACAGAGGGAAGGGTTATAATAGACACACATATCCACAGATAACTGAAATTTGAGTAAATAAACCTGTGGACCCTTCAAGGATTAGTGGACACCATGCCTGTAGAAAGAATCCCCGACTGTGACATGGAGCAGCACCCCAGACACAGAGGAGTCCAGTCCTTTATACCCTTCTCTACAGGCTTTTCTGTGACCCAGAGAACCTGTGCTCTGCGCGCCCCCTGCTGGTCCTGAGCATCCTGCAGGGAGGTTTGTGTCTGAGCTCACAGCAGCTTTCACTCACTGTGTCTCTTGCACAGTAATATGTGGCAGTGTCCTCAGACTTCACACTGTTCATTTGTAGGAACAGTGTGTTCTTGGCGTTGTCTCTGGAGATGGTGAATCGGCCCTTCACAGCGTTGGCATAATAGATAGTACTACTACCACTACTAATGTATGCGACCCACTCCAGCCCTTTTCCTGGAGCCTGGCGGACCCAGTCCATACTATAGCTACTGAAGGTGAATCCAGAGGCCTCACAGGAGAGTTTCAGGGACTTTCCAGGCTGTACTAAGCCTCCCCCAGACTCCACCAGCTGCACCTCACACTGGACACCTGCAAACACATAGAATTCTAGTCAGAAAACTGTCACAGAATCTAATTTTTTTCTTTTCTCTCATGTGAACAGAACACACAGCAGTTTGTCTCCATATGTTACCTTTTAGAATTAGGACAAAGAAAACCAATTTGAGTCCTGAGTTCATGGCAAGTGGCCTGTGTTCAGTGCTGATCACAGAATGGGAGGACCTGAGAATCCAGGGCAGGGCTCTTGTGTCAGAGCTGCAGGGTCAGGGCAGGGCTGGTTTTCATGGGCACAGAGAAGCCTCATTTGCATGTCTTCCTGCTATAGGAGGCTCTAAAGACGGACCTGGGAAGATCAGAGCAGATATAAGAAATCAGTTGCACTGATGACAGATACAGAAATTGACAGAGTAACGTTTCTCTGTGCACACACTTTCCATGTGAAGAATTCACCACACTTAATTTAGTTCCTTTTTCAGCAAACTCACAGCACACACTGTGTTTCCACAATGTCATGTCTCCCAATTATTAGTGAGAATTTGAAAAGCTGCAACCAGTGTTGTATTTTTAGATATGTGCTCAGTCTCTCCTTGTCTGTGTTTGACACTGCTTCTCCCTGAGGTGGAGAGTGGACAGGTTCATTGCTGCCTCTAACAGAACTCCTTCCCTTCGACAGGAACACTTCAGACTTTCTGGATTTTACTCTTTTCTGACAGAATGCTGTCCTAAGGCCTCAGGACGTCCACACATGGAGAATTCCTGTTTACTGCTTCTCTTCCTAGTGGTTTTATGAGGACATTTTTATATTTTCTGTACTCACTAATTCACCTCCTGAAGTTTTCCTTATGATCACTTTATAATCCCCACTCTCCTTTCCATTTTCTAACTCACACTAGGTAATGCATTATTGTCTTTATGTTGTCTTAGGCCAATTTTTATTTCTCCATGTTCATATAGTCAACGTAATGGGGACACCTCATAATTTTTATAACAGCACACAAATTTATGGCATTTATATGACATTAATTTTTGTTTCCCCAATTCTCACACTTCCTACACACCCATCTAGTTTCTCTCACACCCCCAACTTTTCCTTTCAAAACTCCAGTAATTCCCTGTAGCCTGCTCCTCTTCTCCTTCACTAAGATGACTTATCCTGCCTTTTCCTTTCAAGTTCCAAAGCCTACATAACAGAAATCAGAAAACCCAACAGACACAGTCTCAAATTCATTCTGGATTCTCTACATAGCAGGAATGCACCTTCCCAGTCTTCAGTATGCTTTGTGAGACCACAGAGGAGAAGAATTTGCTCTGTGCCTTGGAAATAAACTCCACTGGGGAAGTGAGTGCAGAGATGGAGCCAACCAGTAGAGCCAGCTCTCAGAGAATGTCTGTTTGCTGCTTGTTGGGGAGACCCCACATCTGTGTCCATTTATGTGCGTGCATGATCTTTGTCCTCAGAGTGGCAGAGGTAGAGACTGGTCTGAGCATTAGTGATCCAGCCATCTCATTCAAGCAATGATGGCCTCCTATACTGTGAGGGCAGTGTCCCCCATGCCTGGTGCTCTGAGTTTTACATGAACGTTTTTCAGTCGTTATTCTCAGTATGTCTCATATTGGGGTTATATGATGTTTTCATTGTGGTAAATAAATCTGGGAAGAATTATTACAAAAATGAATGTACATTGCTCTTACTATATTGAAGAACTTGGCATGAGTCTATTTAGCAAGTAATTTTGTCTTTGGTTACTCTAGAATTTGTTTTTATTAATATTCCATATTTCCTTGTTCCTTGAGTTTTTCTATTCCATGAGTCCACTAAAGAAATTCACTAAGAATAAGCAATTTCCTAAGGTAAAGAATTCATACTAAAGGCAATCATTTTTATAATTTTCTTCTATTTGATAGGAGGGTTTTTTTTCTTAAGTGTTTGATCAGTCATTAGCTTACTTATGTCCTGACACATGTATATTCATTTAGTGGGCTATGTTATCATAACAAACACACACATCATATCAACAGGAAGAAAGAGATATTCATAGGTAGATGAACTGAATCTCTTACTTCCTGTCTTTTTACAGGGACACCTGCTTGCCTGTACTATCTATGTATTCTAAACTGATATAGAATTATGAGATATATTCTTCACATTGTCTTCCTAGTGACAAGATTAAGGGTGTACACCACCAACCACCTCATGGAGCATTTCAAAAATTAAATAATTAATCCGAAAATATTTTATTTCACACAAAGTATTCTGATCATTATTTCACTTCCTTCATCTTTTCCTAGAACATTCCAGTCAACCAATGTGATCAATTCTATAACTTGCTGAGTTTTAAAGATATATAGAAGATTGGCTTCATGATATTCATTTTCATATTTGCAATAATTGGTTTAAAAATCAATAATTGAAACTGCGTTTTTGTCTTTTAAAATCATTTGCTTTTATACCTACCTAGTACATGAATTCTTGTGTAATATGGCTGTTTGTCTGACCTTCAAGGAGCCTCTCTCTTTTTTCAACTACATCCAGCAACTCCAAAGCCAGCCCTAGTTCTACAGTCATGCCAGCCCAAAGTAATTGAGCCTAAGTTTCCCTCATGTTCACTGATATGTCTCTGGGTGCAACAGAGTCTTAGAGCACACTCAGGACTTCAGAGTCATCTTTGGAAATAGAG